TAGCTCACCGTAAATACGGCATTTTAACAATTTTTTGAACGTGTTTTAACGCGTTACTATATCAAAACGTAAAAATTTGTAGATTTTTCTACAGATTTACGCGTTTTTATCCGTTGAAGGCTCATATTTTACGCGTTTTTGCGCGTATTTTTCTTAACGATTTTTCTTAAATAACACATTCACTTGTTAATTTTGTTTTTTTCTGAAGCAATTACGCAAAATTTAGCAGATTTCGTATTCATAAGATCGAAAGCTTCTGCTTATGTCACTGCAACAAATGGCAATTTTATACTATGAAATGTGAAAATTACAGTATAATTCTTTTTTTCTGAAAAATAACCTGCCAGAAAACTGATCACTCAAACATGTGATATGTTATGAATTATTAACACATGGGTTGTTGGTGTCTTTTTTTGTTCTGTGCCCAATTTTTTAAAGCACATCTTAACTTACTAGGGAACCTTCCACGGTGCGGGAGCGCTTTTCAATCGGGATTTCGTGCATCTTGTAGCCCATAGTGAGCTATGCTTACGGTAAAAAAAGTTCGGGTTTCTGGCTTGTTTCTGAGGAGATATCGAGCTCTTAGTGAATTTTCTCTATTGTACGCCTACATTGGCAGCAAAGCTATACTTTCGAAATTTGACCTGAAACTTTGCCTGCATAAAGGCCTCAGCTAGACTAGTTTGCATAAAAAATTTTAGAAGTTTTGAATAAATTCTCTCTAAGATATGAAACTATCAAGGTATAGTCCCTTTTTCATCAATAATATATATAGTATGCATTTTTTCAAAGCTTCATATCTTAGAGAGAATTTATTCAAAACTTCTGAAATTTTTTATGCAAACTAATGTCGGCGCCAGAATGAAAGAGGGGTGGATATAAATTGAATAACTCAACAACGGCAAGAGCTACTGAGTTGCGGTTTTCACCAATCGAAAGAAGAGGAGTAAGCACGTCTTTTTCTCTGATAATGTATAAGACGAAATCCTTTTAAAGCTAATCATACTCGGAAAACCTAAAAAAGAATGCATGAAATGACCTGGCAGCTACATGAAATTTTAATTTTGACCTTTTATTTAGATAGAGGGACTTCAGATCTATAGTTCAAGACACAATGCGCTTTCTTACTTTTTCTTACATTTCCATCGAAATCTCAAGCTACTAGGATAAATAGTGAGAAAATTGCGAAAAAATCAGCAAAATGCCCTATTATTTGCTCATGTAAGCATGCATGATCCCATTTGCTCAGCGTTAGAATATAATAAGACAACCATTTGTATTGTATTTTGAGCTATAGATCTGAAGTCTCTCTATCTAAATCAAAGGTCAAAATTAAAATTTCATCTAGCTGCCAGGTCATTTCATGGGTTCTTTTTTCAGGTTTTTCGAATATGTTTAGTTTTAAAAGGATTTCGTCTTACACATTATCAGAAAAAAAGACGTGCCCACTCCTCTTCTTTCGATTGGTGAAAACCGCAATTCGGTAGCTGTTGCCGTTGTTGAGTTATTAAATTTATATCCACCCCTCTTTCATTCTGGCGCCGACATTAGTCTAGCTGAGACCTTTATGCAGGCAAAGTTTCAGGTCAAAATTCGAAAGTATAGCTTTGCTGCCAACGTAGGCGTACAATAGAGAAAATTCACTAAGAGCTCGATATCTCCTCAGAAACAAACCAGAAACCCGAACTTTTTTTACCGTAAGCACAGCTCACTACGGGCTACAAGATGCACGAAACCTCAATTGAAAAGCGCTCCCGCACCTTGGAAGGTTCCCTAGTTAGTTATTTTAGTTGATAAATGTTTATTTTTCTTTCCTAATTGTCGATGTTCGATTGAATCTAGAATATTCGCTCTACATGTTAGAACAACTGTGTTTTTTAATGAGCGATTATCACGTTTTTGACTATTTCTATCAAGTAATCGAATAGTTGTACCGGAAATATTAAAACTAAAGAAGAAAGCTTGATAATGATGATCGCAATTAAGGAAAAAATATGAATCTGTTCGCATTTTGACTAAAATTATCATGAGTACTATTGCCATTGACAACCAGTCTGCTAAATGTGATACTACTGGAAGAAATATTGATTTTGAAATTGAAATAAATACCATTCAATACTATTCTGAGTTTGACTTTTTGAAATATAATGTGTTTTGTTTTTATCAACATCAGTTTCAGATGACCAATTATTACTCTAGAGAGAAAAAATTTTGAATATCTTTATTTGATCGTTGTTCAAAATGATATTTTTCTATTCATAATAGCGTATTAAATTGAAAATAGTATACGCTCATACTGGAAGATGATATTGCATAGTATGTATAATACATACTACTATTACTATTCGAATTTCAAATTCAATTTTTAAAATTTAATCTATGTGGTTTTCTAGTTAAATAATAGGAAAGTATGAATAAAATATTTTCTTTCCAAGACAAAAAAAGATTACCGGGTTTAGTATAGATATCTTGCTCCAGCTAAAGAAATAACTTAAAAAGCATTCTAATATTTATTAATTGCAGATGATTTTTGTGTCACAATATGAATAAGTCTGTATGCTAATGAGTGTGTTGGAAAACACCTGTAGCTATAATTTCTAACAAAAATTAGGCATACAATGAGTTTAAAAATCAACCAGTCATTAGTGCTTTTTGTAATCATCCATAAATGATGTTTGGATAAAGGTCTAATTTTATGAGTCCTCTTTTCCATGTAGATTTATCCACTTTCATCGACCGTCCCCTCCCCCCTACTGTACCTTCAATATGAACAAAACTTTTCTGAAAGAGCCTTTTTCTTTGAATATATGATTTTTTTTTAAATTAAATCACAACTCTTTATATAGATTTATGAAAAATAGAAATGAGCATATGTGCGTCAAGAAAAACCATAAAACACATGTATCAAAAACAATAAAACAAAAATTTAACTAACTGCAAAGTTTTCTTCTTGAATACATGATTTTATTAACAATATAAACAATAAAAAGAAAAAATGAAGTTCAGAACCGATGACATTCGAAAAAAAGACACAGTTTACATTATCATTTCAAAGAAAACAATTTGCTCACTTAGCATAATCTTTATCTATTTGAATGGCACGTTTATCTACAGCTAAATTAATCAGTTCATTTTCGACATAAAAATACTCTTTAAAACAAAAGAACCTTCAAAATATTTTTGTAAACTTATGCGAAAGAAAATGAAAACATTGATATTGATTGTCTGATCACTCCGAGTTATTTGAGCCTTTTTCTGTCCAGACTTATTCACTCTTGACTTACCTCTGTCCCACTAATTTTGATGTTCTTTATGGATGATACGTTATTCGTGCAATATCTGTTGTTGAAGAATTCATCGGTTGAGTTTCTTTTGAAAAATTCAAGTTCTTGTTTTTCATTTTCGTATTCATAAGTGTTGAGAAGTTCATATGAGATTGTACGAGTGAGAAATAATGAAAAGAAAAAAAATTCAAAAGCATATATCTATTTTTTGATATTGTAGACAGGAAAAAGTCAATAATAAATACAGGGCAATCTAACTGTACTAATCAAGTAGTCTTTAATGAATAAATCGCACTAACAGAGTAAGATTGATTTAGATAAAACAGTTCATTTATTTTATCAGTTATGCTGTCTTTTTATTTATTGACATAGTAAAGAAGTCTTTATGCTTCTTATTATATTTTTCGATTGTTATCCGACTAAACGCAAGACTGTTACACATCAAATTCGAGAGCGTTTCATTTCTTTTTCCACTTCTATTATTTTGTAGCTAAATCTGTCATTTCACGTTAGCTGACGCTTTCAATGTATCATATGCATAGCAGTCTTTTACCATAAATATAGTGAAGTTCTACAACAACGTAACTTAAAACTGACATTTTCAATTTGAACGAAGAAGGAAAAATAAAGCTTTACTATGGGAACATTGAAAGAAAAGCTAAATTTTTATGAGACTGGTTTTCTTAATCTTTGATGTATATACATGTATATATTTCAAGCTTTCTCGTGATTTATTTAAAATCATAAAAAGTGTCGAAAACGCTCGTTTTGAATTGCTTTGATTTTATCCCACTGTCGTTCTGAGAGAGCATGTTAAATCGACAAAAACTGTCTTAAATGATCTGTTTGTTCATGTATAAGTTGAAACATATTTATCGTTTTCCTCTCGAATCAGCAAAACTGTTAGTTCGAACGAAAAATACACTTTGACATACGCAACAATTCCATTTCATTGAAATTTCACTAGAATATTCTTTTGTCTTTCTATTTTATAGTCTACATTTAGTATTGAATTTAACTCAGTTTTTTCTGAAAAAAAAAACCAAAGAAAAAAGTGGCGCCACCTATAACAGTAATTTCAATTTTTCTCAGAAATGACTGAACCAAATTCTAAATCAACTTCAGATTAATAAATAGAAAGAAACAATAGAATAGTCTCTAGAAATCTCATCAGAAGATATATTTGGGTATGTGGAAGTTTATATTTTTCTACGAATCACTATATATATATATAGATAGATAGATATATGGCTAAGTAGGTAGTTAGATATGCAGGTAGCTAGATGGTTAGATAGTTAGGTAGGTGCTGAGATAGTTAGATAGATGGTGGGGTGTGGGTACACCCACACCCTTCTCGAGATATTCAAAAAATAACCACACGCACGGACTTTTTGGACGAACTATACTAGAGACTCGTCGACAGAGATGAATAGTCAAAACACATTCAACTCTGTCTTAGCGACTGTGTATTCATTATATTATATCAGTTATATCTATTGTTTTACCTAAGACAGATACTTGATATACATTGTTTTCTTTTTGGTTATCCGATCCTTGAAAAAAACAAATCCATAAGAGTTTTGATTTATTGATGTCAAGTTTTTCATAGATTTTCTTTTATTTTAATATTAAATCTGAAAAATAAAACAATTTGACAACATCTATACATTACTAAATGTGAACATATGAATATGTTGGAAAAAACATATCATCTACTTAATTGTTATCGTATTCACTTTCTTGTGATATTTCAACTTCATCAACAAACAAAACATGGTTAATTTCCAAACGAGGATTACCTGACGAAACAGCTTTTAGATTTGCTTGATGACGTCCAATGTCAAAAACTATTTCACCTCCTTCATCTTCAAATGTGGCATCAGCTTCAATACGTTGACCGTTAACCCATAGATCAAGTGTATCTTTTTCTAAAACAATACGATAATTCTTTCTATATAGTGTTAGTGTCCACATTCGACTTATTTTCGAACGTTTTTCACTAAATTTTTCTAATGGTTTTCCATCAACGTCTAGTGAATATTCATAGACAAAACTGCTAACAACATCAATATTAATTGTACAATGATGTTTAGCAATTGTAAATGCTTCTTTTCCAATAAGTTTAAAAAGCTAATTATGAAGAAGAACTTCTTTATTGTCAATGCGAATTACACGTTTATTAGACGTTGTATCACTATAAGAAGACAAGAATTAAGGAAATGAGAATTGTAAGTTATTGATTAAATTTGCTGCTCAAACTCTATTTTATGAACACTATCTGAAAGCTGTACTTGTCAACTTCCGACTACGTCACTCATTGCAAAACGAAAAAAATACGAAATATAGTAGCATTCACAGCTATATGGCTTGAGCCTATACTCGGATTCATCAACTATTTCGTCACTATGACTACAAATATAATATGGTATAAAAGATGTTCCCATTGAACATACTTCTTGTGAAAATCAGAATATATCGAACTATTGAAAATCATTTTTCTCATGTTATATGCAAAGAAATTTAATAGTGTAAACTTTCATACAACTATTTCCTAAGTATATCCACAAAAAATAGTTCTATGAGTATTTTTCGTCAGCCATTAGAGTACTCTTTGAGTACTCTCCTATGAGTATCTTTACTTGGGGCTTTTTCTAAGTTCCTTTCTCAAATAAAAAAAAAAACTTAGATTAAGCATGATTAGTAGCGCAGTAATATACATTTGATAAGTAATAATGACTTTTGTGACGAGTTGAATTAGCTAATCATTTGTAATCATGCCTTCACTTCTCATATAAACAAACACTAGATTAATTGGAACAGAAAAATATCTACTCTCGTTTCATTTTAAAAAACAATAGAAACGTTTTTTTTAAACTGTACTTGTTCTATTCATTTTAGATTAAGTTTAAGAACTTTATTTATATGCAAATGATCCACTCGAAAAGTCAACATTGCGGTAAAAATGGATGGTCAGTGGATTTAGTAAACTTGTACGTCGCTGTTTATTCAATAGTTTTGCATTGACAAGTGGATCATTCGAGATACTCATATACTTGTAATCCATTTGACTTGCTATGCAAGAAACTCATGTATGTTCTCTCAGTGTTGGTTTAGCTAATGTATCTTAATAATGCATGTGTCTTAGACCCTTTCTAAAATATTCGGGAATGGAATCCAAAACTGACACTCCTATCACACCCACACTATAAGACCATCATTCTTGCTTTTTTTTGTTAATTATTTTATTTTGAAACTTCTTCAGTCGAAGAAAAGAAAGAGATAAACATGAAAGAATACAAATAGAATGATAATTAAACAACTTCAGTCAGAAAACCAGAATAAATTGAACATAGATTGATGGCTTTATGTCAGTTTTGTTGATTATAAATTCATTTGAACATGATCAGTCAGAAAAAGAACGAGTATATCGTTGTTCATAAATATGGTTTGCAAGAAAACCGTAGGAAGTAATCATTATTAGTACTTGACAGCGAAGCACATATTTGAAAAGAGGATGTAACTGAGAAATCTTCTCAAGACAGAATCGAGAAGGTGAACAGCGCTTATATTCCGTCATATAAATACTCAACTCTAATATTCTTAAAGAAGGAAGTCGACAAAGCAGGATATTTGCAATTTTGTCGAATTCAACTGTTTCAAGATGTTTCCTACATTGATCGACAGTCAAATGAAATTCACGAAGATTAGGAAAGAGTGACAGAAGATAATCGAATTGACCACTGTGAAATAAAAAGCGTTTGATACGACCAAGTCGAAGATATTTCATCAATGAAAAGCAACGAGTTGTGAAAAAAAATCGTGGGATTGGATTGCTACACGAGAAATCAAAATAGATCAAATTAGGAAACATTAATAAAATCTTCTCGAATTCATTTCCATTTTGTTTTCGTATAGTCATTTCACGAAGACTGTGTAATGGAGTAGTTGTCGGTAGCGGAATAACGATTGGGTCACACTTACCAAAGTGACACATTTCCAAGCGAGAAAATTCACCATTTAATAGTGATTGAACCAATTTAGATGAACTAGCCGGTAAACGTATTGATCGTAATTGAGAACAAATATTAGAACGGATTATATTCTCTATCTCTGGTAGTGGATGAGAATACCAATTGTTATCTGATGACGGATAAGCTTGAAATAATCGATGGCCACCTTTTATCAAGTTCGGTTTGCAAAGAAAGGATAATTCTTTATGACCAATTTCAATCTGGATTGCTTTGAATGAATGAAAGAATGAAAGAACTTGATCCAATTGATGCTTTGTTACACAGATCAAGTTGGGTAGGCATTTGAGAATTTCATTGAGACGATGATTTAAATGAGAGAATGCTAAATAAATTTCAGTAGCTGTGAAATAATCGAAGATTTCGATAAAAATTTCGACAGGTAGATCTTCTAATTGTGTTACCATACAACGATTCATTTTTCTATATTGTTATAAAAGAAATTATCATTGCTATTGCCATTTATAATCAATAAACAAAAGATATATTTCATTGTATCATTGTTTCCTACAAAATCACCAATACGATTGAAGCGCTGAATGTACATAATACAAAAACACATAGATTGGCTTTCGAAAGCGTCACTTTCTTTCATTCGAATAGTCATTTGCTTTTCTAGCCTCTATACGATCGTCTATTTCACTCGGATTGAGAGGCGTCACATATCCCGAAATTGAGATGTTGAAGAAGCAACGCTAGATGCAACAGATGCCAAACTGCTTCTACCATATCACATAAGCATCGTAGTCAAAGCCATCACCCTGAAATAGACAATGGAGCCACGGCACCTTCATTTGCCTGGATATGTAAATCTGACCACATATTTTTGAAGAGTATCGATTTATGATGTTCTCATTCAGAAATAAGTTTCTTTACTCTTTTCTGTGACTACTAGCCAACACAAGAACGAAATCGATCGCCATTATTATGTTGATTACCAGTTTTGGATCAATTCGTTCAACACATCCACACAGTAATAATGAAAATGAAGAGAAAACAATTCTTCATACTTTGTCTAAAAGAAGTCAAATGTTTGAAGAAATCATTGGCCACCCAGTGTCCCCAGTGACAATCAATGAAGTATTACAAATGCGCCTATGACTAAGTCAACATGCCAATATCAAGCTAGCACAATCATTTTGGATCGTTCCTTGGGAATGAGCCATCGGTCAACTTTCATCCTACTAATCAACTGACAATCATGAAAGTGTTTCATCTTAAACCTAAATTTTGATCACCACTTATCAAATTCATCATAATTCTTAGAATTTAGTCAATCAAACTTTCTCTGATAAAGCTAATAGCATAAATTAGGATCCTTCAAAATCTTTGACTGCAAGAAATCAATAGTTTCATTATACACAAATGATCATTTTCACTGAGAAACTAACAAATTTAAAATATGACGTCACCATAGCAATTCTACACCGAGATATTGAATTTTTCAGTAAATTCTCTCTGCAGGATCCTACTCAAACTTTGTACACATGAAGTCTCTATGACACTAGCTTAAAGAAAAGCATTAAGAAGTTTTCGATATTTCTCCGAGTTTGTACAAAAATTTTGAAATTTTTTCTATAGTCTAGTTTTATCAAGGCCTTCATGTCTACAAAGTTTGAGTGGGCTTCTGCAGAGCAAATCCACTGAAAAATTCAATATCTCGGTGAAAATGATCATTGACATGAACAAGGTCAATCTTCTTGATGATCGGTACAAAGAGTTCTATTGTTAGATGAAAGTCGAAATCCCTGGTATTGTAGTAACGATAACAGTCCACCACCATCACCATCAAGAGTAGATAAAACAAAATTTTTATTATTCAGTCAAAACGTTGAGTCTCATTTAATCAAAGATGATGTTACACTTTTCTTCGAGGTCTCGTTTACTTATAAATTCTTCATAAGGAATATTTAAAAGTGTGAATTTTAGATAATCCAATGTGCCGTGTGTATACCATCATTGTGATTCAAGTAATAATTCAGGATGATTATCTGTAACACGCATCATTATTCCTGTGCAAACAATTACAGAATTCGAATCGTTAAAGTTCATTATGTATTTTCCTTTATTATCATCAATTAGTTATTTGATTTCGTCATTACTAATGTTGGCATCAATAGTAGCTTGATTGCGAACACATAATGTTTCACATCCTATCTTCTTTATATTAGCAGGATGAACACGACATTCCAAAATCAATTGGATATATTGACCTTTCTTTAAAAGAATCATTCTCAACGAATGATTTAACAAGTTTCACTTCAGCATATCTTGGATTGAGACGCATAAATGATTGATGGACTAGTTTACATTCCTGCGTCATGTGCCTGATCTTGTGCTGTTTTAAATCCACTTAACAAAATCGATAATTCATATTTAAATTTTGTACATAATAGCATATATGTACACCATCCTTTAAATATCTCTCGAAACTTTTCTGTAACATAAAAAGAATATCTTTTCCATCCAATAGGACAATAATATGGATGAGGACAGCGATCTATTCCATCATTATTAGCACTAGTCCAATAGATACGACTTATTGCATATGTATGATTTCATTCAGAATTGAATTTGATTTCATAATGATCTGTATGTTTTTTCTTTAATGATTTAATATCGCCTATAAACATAAAGAAGATTTTTAATTTACCCAACTCCTTTCGTATTTTATCAGTGATTGATTTACATATAAGTTCAATTTGTTGAACTTTAAAACTAATTTTCTTGAATATTTCCATTTCTAATATAACACTACCTTTCTATATATTTTTGAAATATTGATATCATGTAAATTTATGTTCATTATTTTTGCAAATTTTATTTATAAAAACATTTGTAAAACAAATTCATTATAATCTTTATCAATAGCGAATTTTAATACTGATGACGTTACTTCACTATTGTTATTCGAAATTTCATCCAATACTGATATGAGAGACATTTTCGTGATTTGATTATATTGTTTACATTCTTTATAATAAGCTTCTTCTTCGACTGATACGGGTTCATTCAAAAGATATTTTTCTTTTTCATATTGTTTTTATGAAATATAAGATCTAAACAAAGTGTCAAAGTAAAAAAAAAATTCTGTCCATCGTGACTATTGGGCATTTGTCAAAGATTAACTAAGAATGAATCACAGCCAGTGATTCACAATAGTATAGTCATACATTATTTTTGATATTTTGTTCCGGTATTAACCGTGTTAAGAACTTTTCTATTCATTCTTCATAATAACTATCTACTATTCGTTGAAAAACGAATAAAATAATGTCATTGAGTCTTAATTATTTTCGATTTTCCTCTCAATTCTCTTTTAGTTTGACTACCAAATATGACAGCTAGATATCTCAATGTGAATGAGTCTCTCGGTATAGTTTATCATCAACCGCTGTTTTTCAAAAAGCATTTTTTTTTGTTCAACTCTCTGTAGACATGTGTAAAATGTTTCAGTATAATAACTAACGCTTAATGTTGTTGAATCGAATACTATAAAGCATGCATATAACCTATTTTGTAATATTGTTCGATCAGGTCTTTACTCTGTAAATTGTTAATTTTCAATGAGTAATATTTGACTATTTATTTTGAATTTATGTTTACTGCAAAAAGCTCTATCTTGAGGGTAAATCAAGAAAATAAACACTAGATATAAAAATTAACGATGATTCATTTGGATAAACGCGAAATATGGCAAATAGTTCAGCTTTTTTGTCTGCAAGGGCACTTTAAGAATCAAGATTTTCCTCTTTTACTCCTGATTTTTATTTTCTATAGTCCATTTTGTCATCACTAAAATGTAATGTCATATAGGTACATTACGATTAATCAAAACTTTTAGAAGTGAACAAGAATCAAAATTAACATCACTTGAATGAATATCTTGAGAGTTGAGAAAGGTAAAGCATCAATAACATTAAAATCATAATCGATAGAATGAATATCTACAGGGTGTATCATTGAAGTAGGATCAATATCATCAAAACAATCATAACGTGAATGAAAATCTTGAGAGTTGAAAAATCAACAAGCATCTAAATTGTCAAAAGCGTCTTTAACTGAATGAATTTCCTTAGAGTTAAGAAATCAAATAGGACAAAAAGCACATGAAAAGTAGAATTTATTAAAGTATGTATTGGGAAAGCAGATGTTGATGTACATCAAAGCTCAAAAACATATGGTAAATTTTCTACAGTTCGTCTCGAATTAAGTATGATTAAACTTCATAAATAGAAAATCTCCATCGTGCTACATTTTTGAATGAAATACAGTGAATTCTAGAATTTTGATTGATGTTAAAATTTCTCGAAAGTTCTAATGAAGATAGAGAACTTTTCTAAGAAATGTGATAACGCAAGATTTTTTTTATGCAAAATAAGGCGACAGTTCGAGTTAAAAATGAAAATAAAAAATATCTTATAATAAATTGATGACAACAAAAAAAACGCTTCAGTTGTACTCTTTTCAGATTAATTGAGGTCACATGTTTGTTGAAACAAAACTTTGTTTCTGCGAAAAGTCAAGGAAGAACGCTATTCATTGGACATCTTCAACTAATCGTGAACTTGATCGTTTTTTGTTTGACTCGACAAATAAGCAAAAGCTTCTTGAAGTGAATGAAATTTTTCTTCTTCATCGCTTGATCGAGTGTGGATGTGGATGTCAGTGAAGACAGTGCCTACTCTCGCACCCATAAATCGATTTGAATTATATTATGAGACTCTAAATAGTGCTTGAGTTCTTTTTTAAGAAAGTATTTCTAGTTCTCGATTGAAAACACCTTAATATCAGTGCGGGCCCAATCGGAGGGGTCGGGATGTGACCCAGTCTCATAATCTTGAAAAATTTTCATTTATCCCCAGCCGAACTGGACGATTTCAGTTGTTTTTTGCTCACTATTGTCCGAGAAGCCGGTGACTCCCCTAAACTCGTTGAACCTACCTCCTGAGTGGTCGACCCGTCCCCCTTCCAATCGTAGTGACCTCGAGCCAGCCCTACACAATATAATTGACTTTTATTTCAGAAGTTGTAGGATTGGTGCAGGTATGGGTGGGGTATGGATCTTTCTCTCAACGACACCCACATCCACTTTATGGAAAGTTTCAAAGTCATTTCAAAAATGGTTCCGTATGCTACTATTGTTTTCAGTGTACGGTCGTACAGCAAAACTAATAAAAGTAATACTAGTATATTTCGACTCAGGAGGTCTTAAAAATCAAACCTTGTTTGGATATTTTTAATAGCTTACTGAGGTCCATCATTTGAGCATATATTCGATTCAAAAGCGACTTGACAGTTAGAGATTTGCCGTCGTGAGTTCTATCATCAATGTATGACTTGTAAAAGCTGCGTAACTAGACGTAAATATGAAACAAACCGTTTCTTTTATTGAAACTAAATTGAAACTGAATACAGACAAAAGCCAATACAACAAAAGCACAATATTTGTAAGTTTAGTTTTGAAGTAAAGCATAAAGACAATTATTCATTTTTTGTTGTGATGTTTATTTTTGACGAAATCGACGCTGAACGATTTTTTTAATGTGAATAATAGCTTCATTGAACTGTTTTCGATAGAATTCTGATGGTAGAACAAAGAGAATGAATAAAAGTAATGGTGGAATAAATGAAATAAAGTAACCAGTGAGATATAACCAAGGACTTCGGACTGATTTCATACACTCGGAAACCAGTGAAATGATTAGACGTGGCATGGCAATGATGATTAAAACGAAAGAACTCAATAATCGATGTTTGTGTTGATGAAATTGTTTCCACAGATGTTGTCTGTATGTCTGTTGTTGATGAATTTTCGATTTCTCTCGAGCTATGAAGATAATAACGAATACAATAGCGATAAAATTAATACAGCAAGGTAGAAGAAAATGAAAGAAATTGATAATTGTGACGTAAATTCGTAGAGATGATGAATAACGAACTACACACCATGTTCGTTGTTCTTCTGTGTCTTGAAGTAAATGACGATGAAAAGGATCATAAATATAACTAACCAAGATGAACAGATATATTCCGAAGATCACCTGTTTAGCGGTTTGTTTACTTCTTACTTTATTGAATTTAGTTCTAAATCGAACAATGAATACTTGTTCAACACTTACACATGCATTTAACCATTGCCCAATTGTTGAAAATGCTTTCAAAAACATGTCTATACAAATACAGTTCGATAAAAGAAAAGAATAATTGGTAATTATTGACATTTGAGAAAGAAGTAAGAATAAAAATTTGAGAGCAAATATTGTCATTGTTAGAAAAGATGTTATTGCTGATGCAAGTAGATAAAGACCAGAACCAATTGCAAGTGATCGCTTCGTTTGAAAAGTAATCATCGATAAAAGACCATTGATAATGCCAATAAAAAACATCACTACTGTTAAAGCTGTACTGATTTTTACTACTTTCGGTTGTCGTGAGAAAGGAATATTAGGCCAAATATTATAACCAAGAATATCATCAAGTGATAGGCCAAATCCTGTTGTAGTAAATTGACATCGACTACCATAATAACATTCTTTGCAAAAACATGACGATGATGTTGGACAAGTGCTATTGTCTATATGACATTGACCATCATTTTCACAATAATTATATCCAAAACATTTGTAAAGAGGACGATAGTCAAATTTGAAACAATTTGCATTTCGATCAATGTCACATAGACACATGAAAAAATCATTATCATAGAAACATACCAAATTTGAATGTTTTTGACATGGAATATGATAATGTTTTGCACGATGCCATCGTGGCAAGATTGGAATATTATCAGTGAATAGGTCTTTGATTGATAAACAACGATGTTCAGGAATAATTGTCGTAGAAATATTGATTCCTAATGTAGAATTATGTCGAAGTAGAGCAAGATAATAATGTTGATGAATTTTTACAAAAATTATATGAAATTCTCCTCCAAAATAAACAAAAGAAGAACTTTCGTAAAACTTTAATTTTGAAACCATGATTATCTGTGGTGGATCAGCAGGTGGCGAAGAATATGACTTAGATATTGATGGGATATAGATAAAATAAATAAACATCGTTTGTGGAATCGATATAGTTTTAGCAAAAAGAAATTCAATTTTTGTCTCGGGATTTTCACATCTTGAACCCATGTAACCTTGAGAACAAAGGCAATAATATTCCGTTTCGGAATATGTTTCATCATTAGCAATGCATCGACTACTATTAGAACATAGATTCGAGATGCATCCCGTTCTTTTCAAATAACAACGTGGTCCAAATTTATCAAGAGGACAAATACAAATCGATCGATTGTTCACAATTCCAACACATATCGAATCTGGTGAACAATCACATGAATTCTTTATTGTACATAACATTCCAGAATAGCCATTCAAACATTGGCAGAAGTATTTATCGAAATTTGAAAAATATCTACATTGTCCATGTAAACATTTCAAAAGACATTTTTTCGATACGGTGGCAACATCTCGTATAGGAACATCGACTAGTAGTGCAAGACGATGTACTGGTAAGAATGAATATCGAATAGGATAGAACATAGTATCATAATACTCCATTTTTTCTTTATTGTAAATATCAATACGTACATAGTAAGTTTGATTGACATATTTTGGTTGTGTTGAATAAAGAAGATAGAAATTGAATTTTTTTCGACAATCACGTAAGGACACATAATCATATTGTTCCGAAGAATGAATATTTGTATTTTCGTCAACAAGCATGATAACAAAAGTGAATACCGTTCGCCATTCAACTGTTCGAAACTGTAATGCGAGACTAACTCGTTGATTTTGATATTCACATCGATATCCAAAATAGGCTGGCGGACATAAACAATAGTTTTCTGTGAAATTATTTACATAGATAAGAATTCCACGTTTACAAATTTTACTTAGTCGATGATCTATCAATTTCGAATTATCGTTGATATTAAATTGATTAGTAGGAAAAATGTATGCAGTTGTTGTTGTTGTGCTAGAATCGTCTTTGCTAGTAATTGTCTCAATAGGAGGATACTGGAAATGATTTGTCAGTGTCAAATGAACAATCTTATTTCTGTATAGACTCGAATACAAATGTTGTAGATAGAAGTTTCGATCATAATTGTATAATAGTTGAGAACTAGCGTCAGCATTTGTCCTATTTGATGAATTTGAGACTTCTGTACACCATAGGCTTTGGTCAACACTCGATGAACAGTGGTTTTTGTTTTTATCACAAATATTACGCATAGAAATGCACTGTGTTTCATTAAAGCAGCGATAGCTTATAGTCATCTTTGATCTCAAAGTTGATCCACAACGATCGCGTTCGTCATAACCACCTATACAATCAATGTGACCATCATTGACTCGCGAGAGCGGTAAACAAGTCAAATTGTGACTAAGTGGTAATATACAAGGATGACCATCTGGACGACATGGATTATAAGAACAATTAGCTTCATCGGCTCCATTGCGACAATTCCAAACATTATTACATCGCGTATATACATTGTTACAAGACCACTGTTCACAGTCCATTTCATCTGTGTAGTTAAGACCATCAATGCTTTCATAGTCGACGAAACCATCACAGATTAATAAGAATGAGAGATGAAAATACCTTGAATTCGCACCAACTACCTGCGGGTTTCTATCTTCTCCATCGGCACACATCGGTAATTCGCTATTAGTTATAGTCATAGGAATGCACTTGTGTTCCGAAGTGCATCCAAAACGATAGTCGACATCGGCCAACTCGCAACTATTTGTGATTTGTTCGTCATCATTTTGAAAACAATCAGTAAAACCATCAAGAAGTCTATTCAACGCAATGCATTTCGATGAATTTGCACATCGATATGGTTTTGACTTTGGACACTTACCAAAACCAGTCTTTGTGTTCGAACATTTGAGAAAAAAGAGGAGTATGGGGTACACGATGGAATCCATTTCTATAAATTCTTTACTGATGTTGAGTTCAGAGAAACGTCGACAAGTTAAGCCATTTATGATTATAGTCGCCGGAAGCCATTGGCAGAGTTCTTGATCGTAACATACATAATGAGGTAAAAGATCACCCAACTCATATTCATTGGGTAGATTATTCGCATAGGCAAAGCGAACATGACTCAACACTATCGGGTAAGCAGGAAAGAAAACAATTGACGAACAGTTTTCTCGAAATAGTTTTTCATGCTCAAGTTGCTCTGCACATTTGACTTGATCGACGAAATTTTCCGAAGAAAAACTTGAGAATGCCAAACAAATCAAGTTTGTCCAACAATTAAACGATAAATTAGGATTTGCATTTCGAGATAATATCGCTTTCAATAATTGAACGTTACGATCATTCCTGCAGGCCTGCATACTGCATTGACCATCACCACACGATAACATACGTTCATTTCGACATGTTGTCTCTTCACAGAAGAACGTCGGATTCGAATAACAGTCCCTTTTACCAAAATTGCTAGATTCTTTCTGATCATACTTTTCATCCGAACGATCGATGCAATCTGGAGTCAAGGGATCATCATTGAAAAGTTCTTTCGGAATACAAAATCCATTGCTACAACGGAACTCGTCCTCTTCACATTCATTTAAGTCTAGCTTCTCGCAATCAATTTCATCTCGACCATCATTCAAACAGTCAATCTTTCCATCGCATATTTCACGCCAATCGAGACAAGATGGTGATGGACCCCGATTACATTCTATGAATGTATAACATGTTTCGGCCGTAAATGAGTTACCAGCTTGTAGCTTAATATCAGAGAAATAATTCCGTACAATCTTGTCGAATGACCATGTCAAATTAAATGAATATTGACAATATTCACCAAACCATGGTTTTGAACAATTGTTAAATACTTGTGTTGATAAAGATGAATGTGAACTTTCGAGAAATGCTTGATATCGTTCAACAACATCAATTGATGCAGATAATAAATATAATTGTTGGCTCGTTATATTTTCTCTTCGTAATGTTTCGAATGTAATTGATATTCCATGAATGACATGTTTTTCGTTATTGACCAATAGATTGGATGATAAACCAAAGAACCGTATACAGTAAGGAACTATTTGATATGGATAAGGTATTTTGCGTTCAGGATCCATAGTATTTTGAATTACAGAAAATTCATTATATAACAAACAGTCATGATACAACGAATTATTGCTGATGTGATCTGTATGATAGAGATGAAAATTAAGCTTCGTCACTGATACTTGCAAAATGAGCAAGTGCAGAACTAAAAACCAGTTGAACATTCTATTTAGTATTATATTAGACTTGTGTGGATCTAATTCGAATCACACTGGAATTGTTATTTGTCCTCACACTCTCTATATAATCGCGTATGATGTATAGGTGTACAAAATAAAAAAACTGCGCTCTTATGTCATAGTCAGGTATCTAACATCGATCATTAATCAGAAGCATGTAAAATTATAATGCTGTCAGCATGCAATATCAATCTATCATAATTTTGATAATGACGCAGATACGCGCTATTAATCATTTAATAAAAACAAGAAAAACACGTAGCTTTATTTTTCTTTCATTTTATATTGAACGTTTAAAATATCGGAGAATAAATGACATACGTTTGTCTTACATGGAAGAGATATCTGGTCAATGAAAAAAATCTTCCCATCATAGCTGCCAATTTTACTATGCTATCGAATTTGATGAATCAAAAACGGTTGCCTGGCTAGTAATTGACAGTTTCTGTCGATTAGTACTGTTTTTTTGTATTATTCATATATATTATGGTCTTTTTAACTGATTCGTGCATAGTATCAATGTCAAAAAAAGCATTAAATCAGAGATGTTTGAAGTGGTCCACGAGCGAATAGATTTTCATTTCGCAGCAAACTTTTGAGTAGTTCTCCTTCGAATGGTAGCGTTGGAATAATTTTGTGAGTCATCCATATGTAGAGTTTGATATTCTAAGACTAGAAATTTTCATATCACTGTTTTTCTTATGTCTTTGTTTGCTGATTATTCAATATGACTTCTTTGCCGTAATTGAAACATGGTATGTATTTGTGAATGATAGATGAAAGCATGTAAAATGACAATGAAACTATTTTATTTCGATAATTCACATATGTTATTTACAAAACTGAATATTTTCTGGCATTATACAAATTCCATTAGAGGGCGATAAATGAGCCTCATCAATAAGAGACAATTGTGGTTTTTGCACATTTAAATACGTCTGCCAAGTTCTATGTTACTAAAAGGAGTTTTCGACCCACTTATTTTCAATCCCATAGAGATAGTACTGAAAGCTATCTTGTTTCAGAAGGAATTTCGTCATCGTCAGCAAGCAAACATTCAAATTTTGAATTAATGCTTAGAGTCGTCTTTGACTAAATCCAACTAACAGAATTTCTGAAACGCAAAATGTCTGTCCAACCATTCATCATTACATGAATAGAGTCAAATCGACGATTCTCAGAATAAGTCTCGTTCATACGCATACAAAATTAAAGGAAGGAAGAAAAACAAGAAGAGAATAAGACAGATGAAGATTGAGAATATACAACAACACATACAAGAACTAATACCATTACCAGAAAGATGACGACGAATGCCTACAATAATAGAAAACTTTATGCTCTTAAATGATAACGACGAGGCAACAGTTTTTGACACACATGATTTGATTAAGAAATATGAATATCATTTCTCATTTCTGATGATCAAATCCTTCTTCGTACTAGTACCACTTGTAACTTGTGTACGAGATGTTAATTTATATTTACTTTCAATGAAATTAATGCGTAAATTAAATCATGTTACTTTGTTTGGAACTTCATGAGTGTGGATGTGGGTGAGTGAGAAGAAGACCCACACCCTTCATCCGTTTTTGACGTTTTAGTCAAAAATCTATCTTCTTTCTAATCCATGAATAGTACAAAATCAGTTTTATCGTTCTTGTATGTCAGTCGTACTCACACAACAAATTTACATTAGTGCAACATCCACCTATTTTTCAGTCAAAAACTGCAACAGAAAAAGTCATACTTTTTGATTGAATGTGACCCTCTCGTTTGGGGAAATTTCAAATGATTTCAATCTTCAACTATTACAAATGTAAGATGATAAAGGGTCTAGGAATAAGTCTGCTTAATATTGAGAAAAGCGTCACATCAAAACTGTCTACCTTATCTTGATACTAAAATATTTAATTTAAAAGGATCAGATAAAGGATATGATAAACGTTTTATTTCAATGAGATAAAGCAAGTGATCAACTAATAATAATGAATAACGAAGATGATTTAACGAATAATGAAAAATGAAAGAATGAAAAAAAAAAGAGAAAAAAACAAGGTCATACGTAGATTACGAAAAAAGGAAAATAAAAAACGCAATAGGGAAAGGAATGACGCAAAAGCAGAAGGTCATCATGTTCCCATGATGACCAACAAGATAGCAGGACAAGACACATCAAAGAGAAAAGGAAAAAAACTTCATGTACAATAGAAATGAGTTAAAGTATGAGTGCCGGTGTTATCTTTCTCGCATGAATATATGTCCACACACAATTTGAGAATGATGAACGTATTATTGTGTCAGTACAAAGAAATAAAAGCATGAGACAGTATAATTACTAAAACAAATATGAGTGTAGCATTTCGATAAAATAGAGAAATAAAAATGTTAACTAAAAGAAAACTCAGTCTGCAAAAGACTATTGATTTATAAGACAAGAATAAAAGAAGAATATTGCAATCGTTTAACGTCGCAATGAAAAAGATAGACAATTGATTTGAATTTAGACTAAACACATAAAGTAGAATGTTGCAACGCACGATTGTAAAGATTTTTGTCGAGGTCAATGTCGAAGGTTCATGAATAAAACTATCAAGTATTTTTACTCTTGCATAATGGCAACTTTATTCTTCACATATCAAGTAATGAACTAAAATACACTACTTTATAGCTTCATAAATAAGTTTCGAACGAAACAAATCATCAGAGAGATGTCCACAGTAAGATGTAGCACAAAGAAGTATATATGGTAGTCCAAAACATTTTCAAAGTTTCTTGGAATCGAGATTGAAGTTGGATTTCGAAGTCAAGGAGTTTGATTCTCCATATGGCTCTTACATATTTAATAACTTACTATTATGGATTACTTTTCGAACACATCAAGTAAATGGATATTGATCGATTTGACGCTTATTACTCAAATTTTAGAAAAAAATAACAAATTCGCTTTTGATATAGCAACGATTTATAAAAGTAATAAAGACATAAGAAATAAGCCACTTATAGAACGAATGTTCTAAATAACAACTAATGCGAGAAAACAGAGAACATTATCCAAGTCAAATATGAAAATATATTACAGTACATGTCAGTTGACATCAAACGTAAGTAGGCAAGGATGGAGAGAAAAGATACAAAAAAAAACAATGGTTATTTAGAGATGACGAAAGAGAACTTACTGAATAACATAATATGCTAGACAAGAGGACAAAATATAAGATACGACGTTCTCATATGAAAAAAAAAGCAGGATACTATTTATTGATTTTTCGCTATGTTCAAATATTCAATAGTAGTAAGAAATGCAATCTTAATCCGTTTATCTTGTTTCTTATTTAGTTTTTTTTCTGTGCTACACAATGAGTTGTATTAAATATAATTAGATGATAAATGTATTTCGATATAGCATGTAAGTACCATTTTTTGTTGATAGGTTTACGAATAATAGAAAATAATATAGAAACATTTCTGTTCAAAAATTTCGTGTTATTAAATCTAAAATTAATATATCATAAATTATTAATATAATTATATGTCAAACAATTTTTCTCGAATTTTTCATATTAAACAAGTAATTCAGTTATGCTTTAATCATTATCAATCTACTTAAATGAATATTTTTTTTCATGATTAATTAAAGCTAGAAATGACCGTTAAAATAACACAAAAAAAGGGCGAAATATTGGTTTTTCTATATTTGTAAAAAAATATATTCAAATTAATCTCTATTAAGAAAAAAGAGATACATCACATATAATAAAAATATATTCTCAGTTCTTTTTTTAATGTTCTCATTCATTTTGTAAGAAGATTAAATCTTTTTTTTTTCGTGAAAATACTGTTCTAATTCTATTTCATTTTAGTTTTGAATATTCAATTTTTGATAAACATATTGTCTACATTATATATTCAACAATCATATTGTGCATATCTTTCATATATATACTTTTCGGCTATTTTACTATCCTTTCTCATTTACAGCAGCAATATGTGGCAAGCATATCAATTATTATAGAAAAGAAGAATCAATGCATAAGAGTAAAGTACAACTTGTCAACTTGTTTTTGATGCTTTCTACATCATCTTGACAATTATAATGTTAATAGGTTACTATAGC